ACGATAAGTCCTTCGTTTGAACGCTTCTATTTTTAGCACTATATTGGACTTGATTAAGGTGATAACCTCACGCCCTCAAAACACAAGTTTTATTAGTGTCTCTTTTTTACCTCCTGATATACCAAGTGGTTTTTGTTGTCTACAAAAGAGAACACTAATAGGTCCCATATTTAACAGTGGGCATAGGTGTCCACCGGGAATTTGGGACGGACAGCCGAAGTAAGCTATGTTGAATATGATTACGAGGGTGAGAATGTATTCCGGACATACTTCAGGCACTGCACAACTCTCAGCCAACGGCCCGTGCAGAAACCAGCTACTGGCATCTCCATCTCCAGCCCAACATCTGAAACCAGGGAACTAGATTCTTCTTGTTGGTCGCGACTCAAGGCCAAACGTTGATGCCCAATGCCAGATATAGCGGCAATTAAAATTACCAGAAATCCTATTAGTCTCGCAAGTTGTGTCCAAAAAAGACAATCAATCACAGTTCGTTGACAAAGGAAAGCTGCTCCATCTTCGTTGGTATCTCGGAGTCCACAGAGGCAACCTCACAATTCCGGCCTAACTGTGACCCCGAGGAACTAAACCACTGCTATACATCACTTTTGATGAACTGACAGCCATTTCGCGCGTGATTAAGCACAAAGGCCACAATCCAACTGCGCCGTCTACATTAAGTTTCAACAGATACTATGCTTCAAAATCGGCTTTAAGCATAGCCCCATATCCGCTGAACCACCTTTCCAAATTTTGCCTAGAATCTGCATCTGTAGGCAACATCTGCAAAAAAGTAGAGTTATGGCTTTGTTAACGCATTCGCCGCTATGCTGCGTATCAGCGAACCAGTATGCTTCACCATAGCTTTTTTGAACCTGTTCGACACTGAGCTCAATGATCTGCCTAACGTGGTATGCCAGGAAGCGCGGTTGTTCGAGGAAGTTTTTGTTGAGGACTTCAGAAGGTAAGCAGAGCTATGCTTAAATCATCACGGAAATATCTGTGAGGTTAAAATTAATAACCTTAATGATGAGTTAAAGAGCCTCGGGAAAAAATATTCTACCCTGATTGTCCTGTAACAATGCAAAAAAGGCACACCTCCGGTTCCTCCACAGCCATCTCACGATCTCCATCCTATTGGTTCGCTCGAAGCGCTTTGTTTCTGGGCAGATTGCACAGAGCGTAATGGAGGTGCCGCTTACGCTCGTGGGATTTACGCTGCCGCTTACATCACTTATTCCTGTTTTGTCAAAGTGGTCACCTCCATAGAAATGTAGGAGCGGACATAGGGAAGCCGGTCCGCGAACAACTCTTCTCTACTGATCTGTAGCAATTAGCCAAAAATGCCAGTCCCTTGTCCTCGCGGATTTCAACTCTCCTGCAGTCGACAGGGCAAATTTAATTGGCACGTAGTCGTAGTCCCTAACCTGCAGATGCAGGGGTAACAAGCTCAAATACCTTCAACTCAATACAATCACTGGGGATCCCAGATGATCACTTTGAAGTCGTTAAGAGCTCTTGGTGTTACCGCGGGACAGTGTTGATGCACTTCACGACAAAGACCCTGAAAGTCTGAAAAACGCCCATCCACGAGGTGATGGATGCTGCAAATCTGGTATTCCCAGTCAATGGACGTTAAAAATTTGTGGGGACATGACATACGGTATCCAGGTCCTTACTGACGCTTTCGATCCGTCCTGGGGCCCATGTCCCCGCTTAGACGGGTCTGTTCAGTTCAGTGTCAAAGTTCAGTTTTGCTGTAACGAAATTGGATATGAACCGGAAACTGTACTGGAGAAAGCCGCCACCACTGCAGAGATGTTTAGGATCAGTGTATCGACATGGTGCATTCTGATGAAAATTTTACACTCGGGTCTGAACAGGCTCCAGGACGTCTGTTCCACCCATACCAACGCAAACGACTTGATTATGGTGTTCCCAAAATTCACTCTCCTCACACCGAGGCCGAGTCTAACGAAAACAAGGCGCTGTTTGTCGCAGATTACCGTGGCTTTGTCCAATCTCAGTGGATCAGGTCGACCCTACCCGAATCCATGAAGACTTTTGGCTGTGCAAGCACACTGAAAACCCTCACTGGAACTGCTTTACCGCTCTCATTTCGGCTGCGCTGCGGATAAGAGGTCTAACTCGGACGCGATCGTCTGCTTGCCAGCCCAGCATCAATCCGAGCTCTGGTTGGTCGAAAATATGGACCCAACAGCCAA